CTATCCTGGCCCTTCTGGCTTGGGTGGTAAGACCAGGACCCCTGTGGTCTCGGGTGAGCCCATTTTACCCTCAAGGCCCTGGCTTTCCTCTCCCCAGACACTGAGTCATTTCCTTTCTTCAGCTCTCACCTCTGAACCTTCCCTTTCCCTTCCCTGCAGAAGTGACTCACTGCTGAAGTGTTGGGTGACACTGAAGATCAAGGATGGATGATAAAAATATTCCTGATTGTGCAACTCTAGGGAGGGATGCAGGGTTTGCACCTAGACTCGAGGCACCAGCAGGAACCTTGAATGAGGGCCACTGCGTGGTCTCTTTGCAAAAGTGGAGCCAAGACCAGAGTCAAAGCATAAGCTGACCCATGACGGATTTGTTAGAGCCGTTCCTGTTGCCCTTTCAGATGTGGTGCTGAGCGAGGCAGCACAGACATTTAGCATGGCAACCTGGTTCACAGTGAGGGAGCCAAAACAAAGCCCCTGCTCCAGGAGCAGTGGAGGAAAGGGAGGCCCTGGCCTCTCCACTGTCAACCCTGAAGCAGGGTTCTTTCCAGGCTTGCTTTCCAGTGCAAATGCCTGTACTTTGCCAGTATCAGAACTGTGAGTGAAGCCACCATGATAGCAGGCAGGCTACCTACTGCCCTAACACACAACCCTGACAGTGGGGTCATCCAAATCTGTCCTATGTACAAAGTGGTACCGCAGCAACCAGCTGCCTTCCTACGGGGAAACTCATCTTCCTTCACTCAAATCCACTGTCAGGGTGGATGAAGCCAGATAGCTTCTTCTAATTACCCTTCATGGACACTATAGGCTGAGCAAAACAAATCAGTTTTCTCTAAAGAACAACTCCCTGGCCAGGATTAGACAGGAGTGAGGGGCAGCAAAGTCACCCTATCCAAAGGCCAAGCAGATAGGAGGAGAGACCCGCACAGGGGTAAAGAGAAGAGCAGGCACAGGCCTATGTGGCTCTCACCTGCAACCCCACTACTCGGAAGACTGAGGAAGAAGCTCAGCCTTGAGTTTAGGCCAGCCTGTGCTATTGGTTACCTTTAAGTTCCAGGCCAGCCTAGGTTACAGAGTAAGACCCCTATCTTAACCATAAACAAACAAATTTTGTGTGTGTGTGTGTGTATTTGGGAATCTTACAGAGGTAATATCGCAACAGGAAATTCATTCTTCAGGAATTAAGGGGGGGCATCCTTACAAACTTCTTATTCTAGACAAATAAGAAGTCTGGCTGAGTAGTGATGCTAAGCTTGCTTTTGAAAGGCCCTCTGGCTCCTCAAGAGCCTTCTCTCTCTAGCACACACATGATGCCTGCCCCTCTTTGGGAAGATGCAAGACTCAGTTGCTTATGGAACTCTCCTCCACAGTGAGTCACTGGCTAAGTGAGGACAGTGACAGGACATTAGAGGAGCAGCTTACAGAAACAGACCTTCTCCTGCACTCACCTGACCACACAGGCTTGCCTGTCACCCTCACCATGGAGAGGCTAGAGAACTAATATCAGACTCCGGCTGACCAGGGACCTCAGACAAGAATGTCCTGTGACTTCCACCCTGGATCCCAACAAATGTTGGCAGGAACAGCTCTTGACCAGGCTGTCCTCATGTGGTACAAAGGGCTGCTTCCCAAAGTCACCCGAGCAGGCAGTGGGAAGGGAGGCAGGCGCCAACAAGCCGAAGGAGGCTTTTCTCAACTGATCATCTTGGGAAAAGGCAGATACAAATGTCATGGCTGGAATGTAAGGGTTGTGAAATGTGAAGATACCCCAAAGAGTGCCCAAGACTCTCCTTCCAGGAAGGCAGTGGGGGAGGGAGCAGAACAGGTTACCCAGAGGGGCTGCCTTTCTGGGGAGCAGAAAACAAGGCTCCAGAAAGAAAGAAATCCCCTGGTCCTGAGGTGGGAGTGAGCCAGAGATAGGGTTATGTTTGTTTCTGAAGAAAAAAATAAGGCCTGTGTCTAAAACTAATTCTGCTGTAAACGAGCCAGTTATGACACAGCTCATTATTTCTAGAACCATCGGGGCTAACGAGAGGCCTTTCTTACAGTTAAAGAAGCCTGGTAATCTGCTGACATGAACCTAGCTTGTCCTCGGTGCCATGTGAGAACTTGTCCCTATTCATGCTACAACCAGTTAGTTACCTGAGTTCCTCCAGTGAGGTCATTACTCTCTCAGAGGGATGGCCTCCATGGTCCTCATGGTCCCTAAGCACAGGGTGGGGAAGGCCACACTTGCTGAGTGTGCCCTAAACTACTTCTCAGCTTCCTATGCCTCACCTTTTTCTTCTGTAAAAGGAAAACATATAAGATTATCTACTTCACACACTGGCTTCGAGGATGAATTAAATTAATACTGGTATCAACTGTTGGCTGCTATGGATGTATGAAATTAGCAAGTACCCAATTCCCCAAGTAGGCCAGGACCCAGTTGCTGATGCCCAGCTGGATCAGCTGTTCTAAACCGATACATCTCTGTGACCTCCTAGATCATATTTAGACCCACAAAGACCCATGCACCAGACTGCCCAACCCAAAGTCCTGACGAGAGGAAAACTGGACAGGCAGGTAAAGTAGGGCCCAGCTTCCCAAGGGGAGAAGGGCAAACAGTGGTGCCAGCACATTTGGGACTGGCTTTCTCTGTCATGATCTTTATATGGTGCATCTGAAATGAGGTCAGGTCCCAGAGTGGGCAGCACAGATATTACAATGGTGCTTACTAACCTCAACTGAGCTGACCATTAGACTCTGAGACAGCAGAGAGCTAGGCTCTGGGAGATCTGAGAGCTGGGGGTGGTCTCAGCGAGAGAGTGAGCAGGAGAAACCACTGCTCAACTACTTGTTAACTTGGTAAACAGGACCAAGAATCTCAGAGGAAGACACTGTCACCCCTCCAGATGTCAGATCTCAGCTCTTTGGGGACCTACTGGGCCCTTGAACTGCAGGGAGGATGGATGACTCCAGATCTGTTCTCACTAATCTCTTTATACCAGCCAACAGAGAGCAAAGAGTGGGGGCAGAGGGGACAGCCTTCTGCTAAGTGCCCAGCCTACTACTTTCTTACCGCCCAATTGTGGTGTTTACAGGAACTGAGAGACAGCATGTGCCCCTTGCAGTGTCTAGGGGTACAAAAGTCAGACACATAAAAAAGACAGAGAATGAGGTATCAGGCATGTCTCAGGTCAAAGAAGGGCAACAGGGGGCATCTCTACAAGTTCTCTGTCAGAAGCCCTGGCCTTCTCTGAGAGGTGGGAGGGCCATCTGGAAGGTGACTGGCTTCATATTCCTTGCAAACTACTGGAGGCTACAAGCTCACTAGTACCACTGGCCTACCACCAGTGCCAAGGGAGTCCAGTGCAAGAAGTCATACTCAGGGCCCAGGGAGGAGTCCAGCTCCAGGTCAGGGTCCAAGCTGCAGGTGGAAAGCTTCCAGATGCCCCGTGACACAGCTTGGCTATCTGCTATTGCCAGAGCAAAATCCAAGCAACTTAAGAAAGTCATTGGCTGGGAGGCAGAGGCAGGTGGATTTCTGAGTTCAAGGCCAGCCTGGTCTACAGGGTGAGTTCCAGGACAGCCAGAACTACACAGAGAAACCCTGTCTCGAAAAAACAAAACAAAACAAAACAAAAACAAAACAAACAAAACCAAAACAAAAAAAAAAAAAGAAAGAAAGAAAGAGAGAAAGAAAGAAAGAAAGAAAGAAAGAAAGAAAGAAAGAAAGAAAGAAAGTCATTGGCTTGCAGCTAAAAGCTTTGGGTAGCACTGGAAACCTCCCCACGCTGTTAGAGAGCTCAATTTTTCCAGCTTCTGGATGGCAGGTACACCAGGTAAGCCACACTGAATGGAAACGAGCCCAGAGTAACCCTCTTGATACCATAATCAGCTCCCAGGGTGCATTCTCAGTGCTAACCAGCCAGGCCTCCACTCCTCAGTCCCTGTAGCAGCTTCCCATGCTAGCTGCAGGTCTAGGGTACATCCTGGGTCCTCTCTATCCAGACATGCTGCCTATTCCAGATGCTGGCTTTGTTGTTGTGTGCTGCATCACTGATCATTCTAGGGATCGTGAATTAGCAACTGCAGCCTGATTCCAAACCCACAGTAATTTCCAACAAACTGTGTGTGCAGTCATACTGCATATACCATGACCAGTTTATGTTCCCCCAAAGGAAGGCCCTGTGCATCCCACAGATGGCCCCCAGGGCTTGCAGGTGCCACATAGACTTCTTAGAGGGTAGGTGGATCATCCTAGTCTTGTAGGATTAGGCCAGCTCCTTTTCTACCCAAGCCCCAGAAATTTCCTCCCAGGCAGGCGAGGTCCCTGCTCTGAGTGGCCAGCACCTACACATCACCTACCGTGTGAGAAGAAGGGACGCCCAGCTCTAGCCTTGTTCACTACTTGCCTCCTAACAAAGGAAGAGGTAGGAGGAAGCAGATCTGACCTCTGGGGTTGGCTGGTTTCTCCTAAGGACTCCAGAACCCTTAGACAGGCAGCAGAGGCCTGCAGAGGCCTTTCCTTCCCTTCTCTGGGCCCCAGGAAAGGCAGGCAGGAAGAAGGGCCTCAGCAGCAGGCATGCAATACAGGGCTGGCCAGACAAGGAGGTCCCTGGGGTTGCAGCTATCAGCCAGAGCCCAGGCTCCAGGAAGGAAGGAAGGGCAACTCTGACCCAGAGTGAGATAAGGAGGGGCTGGCTTAGCACAATGGGCTCCCACAAGGCTGAGAGGCCCTCAGTCAGATTTTGTCCCAACCTGGACTCTCTTCTGTTCACACAGCCCATGTAAACATTTACTGCTGTTTATATTCATGGTCTGCAGAGTCCCCTTTGAGGTCCTTTGCTACAGTCCACAGATCTATGTGCCCTGGATCAGGGCTGCCCTTAAACCTAGAGACCCTGGGCCCATTCAACAAGAACCATGTACACTGGTCCCTCTCTCGAAATCCTCAGGTATGGCCCCTCAGGAAAAGTACCATCCTTTTGTCTTGGCCCCAGAACACAGACACTTACGGGGCTCGGTCATGGGTGAGGCCATTCTGTCGCTGAGAATTGATAGGTGGAAGGACAGGTTTGCTGTTAATCTCCAGTCCTCGCCTCAGGGTCTCCCGGATCTGTTCTGTGTCTGCAATGAAATCACAAAGTTGCCAGATGGCCCTCTGGGCTCCCAGCCTGAATGAGAGCCTCGAACAGTAGCACACTGGTGAGAGGCAGGGTTTGGTGGTGCCATCAGCAGGCCCAGCACTCGGTGGTTGAAATACGAGTTTGACAAGTTTGAGATCAGCTTGGGTGGGCTACACACAATAGCACATTGCCTCCAAATAAAGAAAGACAGGAGAAAAGAAGAGATGGGCTGGCAGTACTAGTGGAGAAGGCACAAAGAACAACTCTGCTGTGTGACCTGTTACTGTACAGTGAATTATTTTACAATAATTAAAAACAAAACAGTGCTGGGCATGGTAGTACATGTTTGCAATCCTAGCACTGGAGGCAGGAAATTAGAAGCCAGTTTATGCTGCAGAGAGAGAGCCTGTCTGAGAAGTAAACAATAAATAAAATAGCAACGATGACTGCAGCTGTGGACACAATTGCCAACCTTTCTAAGTCATTCTTTCGTCAAAAGCAACTGGATGTGAGCCCTTCTGACTCTTGCAGGGAAGAAGCAAGGCTCAGATGACTGCACTAGGAGTTGAAGTTGTCTTTTTAGAAACCTTTTCATGAGTGTTCTCACACACGGCATGGAGTGTGGAGGCACAGCTCCATGCCAGGGTTGTGCTTAGCTTCTACCCCAGCACAAAGGAAAGAAGGAAGGAAGGAAGGAAGGAAGGAAGGAAGGAAGGAAGGAAGGAAGGAAGGAA